TTAGATCTGTGAATTCTGAAGTCAAATTGTAAAAAATTCTGCTGAATAGTGTTGTTACGTCCTTGGACTGTCTACCCGCTTTCGCACTGAGGATAACTTGTCTAATGTAGATTAAGACCCTGACGCGATAGCCTGACTGGCTTAACCTTGAGGCTAGTATGTGTGAAATCGAAGCGGGGGTAGAAAGACAAAAACTATTCTATCCCTGACAAGCACGAGAGAGAGAGAGAGAAGACAAGACAACTGGAACACTACTCGCTTTATTCCAATCCCGATCTGGTACTCGAATTCCGAATAGTGTAAAAAGATACATGAATAAATAGATGACTAACCTGACCACAACGTACAATAACCACAACATACAATTATGTCCAAAACTGGGGGATTAGTGAGAAAATAGAGTACATAAGGTTGCGTCTAAATTACAATAGCTTTGGAACAGAAAATGCTTTGGCAGTGAATCATACATCAAACGAAAGTTCATGATCTGTAGAATAGACTTGGGGCAAAAGTAAATGTTACAGTTTTACAGGTTCTGAATTAAATGAAATAACGTCTCCAAAAACAGCTTCCGTAGTTTGTTGAGGCTTCTTGTTTCGCGGTTCACATCAAATGTATGGTTTTACAGTGAATAAATCACCACAATTCAGAGCTGTTAATTTCTCACAATTATACATTTCAATAAAAAATTGATTAAACATATTCAATAAATTAATTTTTGGTAAGCAGAAATGGATAGTAGCTAGCAGTGGAATCTATGACGCATGTTTCGTCCTATTTGGGACTCGTCAGCTGGATGTACCTGCATCTCAAAGTTGATGTTCACTCTGGAACTCGAACCCAGTAGCTTTCGCTTCAAACGCCATCGCGTTATACACTCGTCCACTGAGTCCTGATAGCTACTTGCTTGTGCGATGGGGTGAAGTTTAAATTCATTAGGTGTTGTTTGTTTGAATCTTCCCATCGATTTGTTAGTACTGCAACTGATCAGTCTCTAATTGGCATATGTGCATACTGTGTGTATTGCCTCAATATATCCATCTCTGCTTACCATGCTTGTTAATTAAGGCTATATCGATGCAATACACACAGTATGCACATATGCCAATTAGTGACTGACCAGTTGCAGTCCTAACAAATAGATGGGAAGATTCAAACAAACAATACTAAGAAAATTTAAATTAATCTTTATTTAACTCTAACCAAACTATCAAAATTCACTTTTTCCTATTGTAAAAGTTTTTTTTTTTTTCCTAATTTTTAAGAATATTAGATGAGATACATAATGTTGATGAACAAACACAACGTTTATCTAAACTGTTATAAAATAATGAGAACCTCGTATGAATGTGGATTTGTTTATGTCAATAAACTTTGTTACAAAATGAACTGGGGAAATAAGGAGAAATAATTTGTTTTAAAGAAAAAACAAGGAAGCTATAAATTGAGAAAGATAGAATAATAAGTTGATAGAATAAATTAGAATAAGATAATAGTATTAATAATAATAATATTGATACTATGAATGAATACATCTCCGCAGTTGTAATCTATTGCCTAAAGTTGTTTTTTTTTCAAATTCTTGTTATGCCGTGCTTCGTTAATCATTCACCTACATAACCGTTATAATACAAATCTTAACGGTGTATAAAATCAGAAAGCAAAGAGAAGCGGCAGTTATAGTTTTATTGACAAATGACTAAGGCCAAAAAGTTATAAGCACATGAGTAAATATCAGCGAACGAAATATAAATGACAAGCATTGAAGATGGTGGATATTAGCTAACTCACTTTAATCAATATTTATAGTCAAACAAGAATAAATGACAAACATGTGATAAATAGGATAAGATAGTGTATACACACCTATGTTCATATAAAAATTGGTCAGGGTTAATAAGCGAATAATTAACAAGGTGAAAACATGATAGATAGATGAATTGGCTTGTCCAGAAGTTAGGATAAAGTATATGAGCTTAACAATAACAACCGGTAGTACATTCTCAAAACATCGACTTTTTAAGGCTTGAAGTATTGTGCACAAAAGAACTGTGATACAATTCAACGGAAAAACAACAAAACTTCAACATGATTGACAAGTAAATTCATATTATCCTGTAATAATTATTCTTTAACCTAAAGATATAATAATTGAACCAAATAAAGCAATTATCGTTATGAGGGTTGTGAAAGTTATTGAATTTTATTGAGATCACTACTCGGTCTAAGCTAGACAAAATCATGGAAAATCTGAAAGCATTGAACAACTCTTTCGTCCTAGTATGGGACTTGAATACCGTTAGATATTGGATGAGTGATCTAGAGGTAGAAAGTTTGTACGTAAGACCGAAAGTCTAAGGCTTGACTTTTGATGATGGAATTATGAGTACGTACTGCTGAGAAGTCCTATGATAGAACGAAACAACTATCTAGTGAATCCAAGTTTTCAATGGTTGTATAACTTAAATCGGTTAGCGAACTTAATAACAATTGTAGTTGTTTCGAAAGATAAAATAGTGGGAATTCTGTGGTTATCCACAGAATATCTAAGCATTGTCCTTCAGAATAAATTATTAAAACAGAAAAATGTTATGGTTTGGGTAGCTTCACAAAGTTCAATGACGATTGGAAAATCTCTTTATTTCAGTTAGTTTGATGAATTGGTTTCTTAACCAATGAAAGTAGCATTTTTAAATAACTTATAGACTCAAAATATATATTTTAGAAATTGTGAATTCTAGTTGGTTTGAACTTTCATATAACTTAATTTAAGAATAACTAAAATAACTCATAATGTCATTGAATAAGAAAAAGAGAATTCAGCGAAGAAAATTTTCTTTTCGACGAAATCATTTACTTAAGCTGTACTATATATACGAATGTACAGCTTAAGTAAATGATTTCGTCGAAAAGAAAATTTTCTTCGCTGAATTCTTATTTTCTTATTCAATTTAAGAAAACAAATTCGAAATGGTTTTAACGGTCTAATGATCCGCTTAGTATTCTTGTAGCCCTCGTCAAAATACCCTATTCTAGGGCTGTTCTTCATTTTAACGGTGAACACATTTTTAAAAATATTTTATTAAGTTGATTTCTACTTTACTACCTAGGATATTGGAAATACAATTGTGAGTATAATGTAGTAATAGTTGTCATTATAAGTAGCTTATTCCAGTCAGAAATACTCTTTTTTTATTAGCTAGATAACAAAAGAAATCTTCAAATATTCCTTTTTTTATGAAAGTAAAAGCTACGGTGTGGTATCGGTTGCTATGTTAGGCCCACATAACTTATTCTGCCTTCCTGACTGTTTCTGTGTAAGCGTGTGTGCATTTCTTATATTAATAATGTCTTATTTTTGTTCGACTATAAATATCGATTAACGTTTGATTAAATCAAGTTGGCTCAGATGCCTTCTTCACTGTCATTTCGTTTCTTCGATCGTGTCTGGATCAACGATTGAATGAAATAAACGTACATCCAATCCATTCTCGTATTAGACCTATTTAATTACGTTATACACTAACGCGAGTTAAGTTGATGATTATATACGAGGATTGATGATATGTATAGGTCGATAACAATCATTCACGCGATTCAATTGGAGCCAGATGCCGGACCACTACAGCAGATTCCCTTTAACCCCTTAGTATTATTTATCTTTAATTATAATAATTAACCCTTCGTTGAAATATTAAACCATACTTCATTGAAGACATACACAAAATTAATATGTCCGAAATACACGGAGTCAGAATATCACATTTCCAGAAAAACAGTGATTTATATCTGTTATACCTAAGTTCATGAAAAACGATCCAAATCCTCTAATGAATTAATTTATTACTTTCACAAACAACATTATCTAGAACTAATGCTTCAACCTTTTTCAATCTCAGTGATAAATTTACATTTGTAGGTGTATTTAATAAGGCACTGAATATTAGCTAATGAATCCAGTTAACAACTACTATTACATCTTGCGGTCGTGTGATCAGAAAGAGATACACAATACCTTTTTATAAGTTTGTCCAACCTGATATGTGAGTGAAAAGACTAAGGATGAATAAAAAGTTATTATTGGAAACCGATTAAATGTACATTAGTAATTGACATAAGATTTCCTTCGATACACCAGCCAAGGTCTTCATAAAATAATATATATATGATATATATAACACAACTAAAGTTCGATGTGAGATGATATAATGGGTTTGCCATGAGACCACAAAGTACGTAATTTGATCACTGGAGAGTTGAATCCACTCTCCTGATAAGTCTCAAACTATGACAAAACCGATGTCAAGAGCATCCTATTCGCCATTGGTTCCCCAATACTAACCTTAATCAATGACAAAAACCACCTTCATATTTAAAATAATCTCCACAATCTTTCTCAGTTGAATAGCTTACATACATGTATAAACTAGAGTACCCATTCCATTAAAGTTATCTTTAATTGTATCCATTAAAATTTTTATTAAATGTCAACTTCCGCTATCTAAATTAATAAGTATTGGAAGGAATACTAACGGTCATATAATGATGCAATATTATATATATATTTCAGTCAGTGAAAACGTAGAACCTGGTACGCTTGTACATCGGTTCAGGTTGCCATACCCCACTAGCATAGAAAGAAACTGTTAGGCCGAATACCAGAAAAGTAGAGATAGTTACAGTATGATTGGTGGTTGAAAAGATTAGTCATTGAAGATACGATTCAGGTTATGAAAAATTGAGTCCAGAATTTGGAGGAAAATAATAAATGGATGCCCCTGCACCAGTGCGAAAGATTTTAAGCTATGCTATTTCAAGTCTCTAATTATTGGTTCCGGTAATCACGCAGACCTCAATCAGTCTACACCAATTAACATGGCTCAGTTTAACTGTTAATGACTTCGTGGAGTGATGAAATCTCTTTTTATATATTACTATTATTTAATTAACTGCTTCTATGAATTTTTTTCATCTTGTTGTGTTAATAAAGTATAGCAACTTCAATCTATGCATATTTGTGCCTGGTTCTATGTTGTAGATGACTGACTTGGTTTGGCTAGTAAATTGATATCACCATAATTACGAACCAAGTTATTAAATTTTAGCTATACATAAATATATATGCCAGTTAAGACACTTTTTCAATCAAGAATATCGTTTACGACAATCATACTAAAAAGGATGAAATACTTCAGGCTTGATTAGAATGATTTTTCACTGGGTATATATTTGATGCTAGGTTCGATTTTCGGATGCAGGGTCGTGAGTGCGCATTTCTGAGGAGTCCTATACCAGGACGAAATGGCCACCTACTGCTTCCAGGTTTTTAATTATGGTTTAGCTACGATCAATTTGTGATTTAAAATATAAAAGTATATTTGTTCAGTCTATTGCGCTAAGAGGATTCTAAATGACCAAATTGTAAGTTAATTGTTTTCACCTTATATATCAGAATTAAAAAAAGAACTCAAAATTTTGACAAATTTATTAACAAAGAAAGGAAACATTAAAATAAATTATCTTCCTGTAGTCAAGAGAACTGTCTCGACGATTTCGACAACACTTCAGTGAACAAATAATACATGTTTCGTAAAAAGACGATAAAAAAAATTACACGATGAATTATCACTATTTACAGTATCGATCTGATTTCATTTTTTCACGTCTACAAAGATAAGGGGAAAACATGAATATTGATTTTATAAGTCATATTTAGATACATATCAAAGTGAACTATGAACTTTGTTTATTGATAATATATAAGCATCAGACAAGTAGACTTTATTTATTTATTTAAACACAAATATTGGTACAAGGAAGCACCAGATATGCGCTGCACAAATCTCATTGGGTTTATGTGAGGGCTATGATACGACCCAGGTGCCCAAACCAAAACAGGTGGTTTCCTTAGGGGGCTACACCCGGAGCCTTTGACCTAAAGGTCTGATCCACAAGGCAGTGGAGCATCGTGAGGAGATACAGTCCCATGGTAGCCGGTGACTAACGATTGATTTATACACCATTTGTTCCCTCAGAATACTGGAGCCCATGTGCACCATTGGTTTGGAATCAGGGTTTTCCAACTCCCCTAGGTGGACCCTCCGTGTCCACCAATCCGGTTATAGCGCCGGACATTCGCTTTTCGTCCTCTCACTTTATTAAACAACACCCCCGTCACGAGAAGGCAGTGAGTAGGACTTCCCTGGCAGAGACTATATATTCGCTGGCCATATGAGAGCATTTTGAGAGGGAGAGGTGACTCTCCCCACTCTCGGCCGTACCAGGGCATTTGGGGGCAACAAGTAGACTGATCATTAACTTCGATAGAAGTTTAAGAAAACGAAAGTATTTGCAATGCATTGTCTATGAGTACACTATTATAACTATAATGAAACCAATGTTTTAGTGACAGTAATGTAATATTTTTTTCCAATATAGGATACCAAATGAGGAATTCGATAGAGATAGAAGAGCAGGCCTTGTGTGAACCGAAGATGAATGATGACATTTAAAAAACATTATTTTCAAAAAACCTAATTTTCCGGTTTACTTGCGTCATTCGAATTCAGAATAAACCTTGTAATCCTAACCTGTTATTATCTGAAAATAGTTGTGAGTATGTCGTGTTCTGAACACTGAAAAACTTGCAATAAACAATTAGGCAATATATAAGAACTTTCGTTTAATTTAGAGCGAATAGTTTCACAGTATTTGAGCGCCGAGTTGATTTAAGACATTAAATAGGAATAATGTATTTGTAAAATATCCGCGAATGAATTTGAAGTAAATCCAACATTTCACCTGGCAATCTGGTCCAAGCTTTTTCAAGGAATTAATTAATGAATTAGGTAACATGTTACAATTTTTCGAAGTAGATAAAAAAGACTATTAATATGTCAGTGAAATATCCATCACTCATAGTACCACAATAAAGAGTACTTTACTGTTCAAACGTCAATATTAATCTGTGACTATTGGAGCCCTGTATTTTAAATATCAAAATAGATTCTCTATGTAAGAATTTGCACTTGATAAATTTCAGTAAACATTTTAAGAATCAGGCCATTATCATGTGATTATAATTTACACTGAAATGACTGGATAATGAAGAACGCATTGTATATACGACCCAGCTTTACTTTGACTCAATTACACAATAACTAAAAAGATAAACAGTGAGCACAGAATACATTAGGATAACATTTTTGCGTTAATCTAACAGTTCCTTAAAATTACAATCAGCTGACTAAAATACCTAAATGAGAATCAACTTAGTCTATAAAACAACAATATACTGACTGGTCTTCGTATATCTTTTGCAAGTAAATACTGATGTAACAGAATGAAGAAATAATAACTCTCGAAACTATTTTGTAGACTATTATTATATAGAATTTTACTGTATAACTATTAAACAACTGGACCATTATATTTCTATGTTCCATTTATTGTAAGCTTTCGTTCGACCTACTAATTATTAGTACATATTATAAGCAAAGATGGATGGTGGCTAGCAGTGGAATCCAGGACGCGTGTTTCGTCCTATTCGGGACTTGTCAGCTGGATGTACCTGCATCTCAGAGTTGATGTTCACTCCAGGACTCGGACCCAGTACCGTTCGCTTCAAAGGCCATCGCGTTATCCACTTATCTATTGAGTCCTGACAGCCGCTAGCTTGTGCAATGGGGTAAAGTTTAATTCATCTTTGTATATTAGCATACGCCTTATTATTCCAAAACTACTACAAATCGGGTATTTGGAGCTTACCTAACTCATTTCTGCTTTAGGTCTGTGTATATATGAGTACAACTTTCTATTTTATGATCTGATATAGTCCCGTATGGAAAACTATGACCCCTTGGAATAATAGTAATAATAATATTATTATAACAATAATAATAGCAGCAATAATGACAATAATAATCATAGAACCTTTGGCTGCCATCTCATATTCGGACTCAAGGATAAGAATTAACGGACCAATAGAAGAGAAGCATACGTTAGCATCAACTCGACGTTAATCGTACCGGTTGGACTATACCATCGGTTAAGGCCTATGATACTAGACTATAGGCGGAATAATATAGACGAGTAGAAAATTATAACCGGAAGTCCGAGTGGCAAGCCTATCTAGTGGTATTGATTAACGTCTCAGACATAACATACATACATATACATAATACAGCAAGTAGAATGCAGCTCATATTCAAATATCTAGTAAATGAGTTAGTTTAAAATCTTCTAAATGGTAGGTGACATAGACCGATACTAGTTATAGTGATGCGGATGTATTTTTCATGTTCTATCTTTGTCAAAGACCTCTGTTTTATATAAATCACCTCACCCTTAACAATTATTGATTCTATTTATTATATTAAAAATATTTGCTGTGCGCTCCATGTTCACAATCATCAATACAGTTAATTCGATGCTGTTTCCTTTTCGTCTCGTTAATCTCTTATTACTACGCTAATATAAAGCGAAACAACTGCAGTCGATGTATAATTGTACTGTATTGTAACATGTTGTTTCTGATTAACTGGGCGACTGAAAACTGAAAACTACTGGGTATAGTTTAGTTTGAACAACTGAGATTCAATAGGTTTAACCAGTAAGGGTTATAAAGAAATAATCCTTATAATTTATTTTCAATAACAAATTAATACATACCGATCTAGTAGACATTCATACAGATTGCCAGAATGACGAGCGCGTTTTACATCACTGAAATCTTCTTTGCTTAAACGTAGCTTTTGATCTTGCCAACTTTGAAATTTACGCCTAGAAATAAAACGAATTAAAACACTCGTTTTATTTAATAAAAAATTACCCCGCTCATTTTACTTTAAAATTGCTACAACCTTAGGAAAGTAGAACATAAATACAAAAATTTCCATTACGATACTTCTGATTATCACATTGTAATGAAAACTGACAAAAACAATACTGATAACGAGTGTCACTTATAAATAAACAATGTAGAATGACGTATAATTTATTATTATTTAGACACATAAATATTGGTACAATGGGACACCAGATATATATGCGCCACACAAATCTCATTTCATTTGTGTGAGGGCTGTGATACTGCACGGGTGCCTAAACCGAAACAGGTGGTTTTCTTAGGAGGCCATACCCGGAGCCTTTGACCTAAAGGTCTGATCCACAAGGCAGTGGAACATCGTGAGGAGATGCAGTCCTATGGTAGCCGGTAACCAACGATTGATATATACGCCATTTGTTCCCTCGGGATACTGGAGTCCATGTGCAACATTGGTTTGGAATCAGGGTTTCCTAACTTCCCTAGGTAAGCTTTCCGTGTCCACTGGCCCAGTTAAAGCGCCGCATATTCGCTTTTGGTCGTCTCACTTTCGTAAACAACAGTAATGCCACGAGAAGGCAGTGAGTAGGACTTCCGTGGCAGAGGCTATATATTCGCGTGGCCATGTGAGAGCATTTCGAGAGGGAGAGCGGACTTTCCCCACTCTCGGCCGTACCAGGGCATTTGGGGGCTCAATGTACGGTAGACAAAGTTAATTTCTAACTTACCAAGTACAGGCTTATGTATTTGGTTTTCAGCCATAGTTTGTGTGAAAGCTACCAATACTACCCATACTCTGCAAACTGAACTAGCTACATAGTATTTCGAGCCTGCGACCTACCATTTAAAACCAAAGTGTTTTAATCACTGATCCATCCAATTAAATAAAAAATAGGAGTCATACAGAATATAGAAAAAATATATTAAATAACAGCTTACACATAATTAACTTCAGCTTTTTTCAAGCCTTCCCGTTCTTCTTCTGGTATATCCAATAAAGGATCATGGATAAGAGGCTTATTGGAACGAAACTATGAGAATAAGTAGTGATAAAAAACAGTAAGTAGTCTGAATAAAGTATAGAAAATATCAATCAAACACAAGATCATCACCAATTAAGTAACAACTCAAAAGTTTGGCATAACATCAGTTTCTATGTGTTGAAGGTTGCTTAAAGTTGAAATGAACTACAACAACATACTGGAGGAAATCTTTTACACGGCTATTAAGGTAAACAAAAGCTGTACGCACTTCCGAAAGACCCCTTGAATGTCGTATTACCACTGGATAAATAATATTTCGGGTTTCAATAACAGCCGCCATCTAGACGAAGTACGACGAAATAATGCTTACAACACTCAAGCTAAAACAAACTAGAAATCTATGAAGTTTCTTACTATTGGTACTGGCTGTGTAGAAAAGTAAAATTTTTTGGATGATGTTTGTATTTTAGTCTGTTGAAAGGAATTGTGCAGTATTAATCTGGAGGTCAACTTTACAACAAACTATTTAAAAGATTCATCACTTCAAATGTATATATTCTTATGTTATATGATAACAATTAGTGGAAATACCACCGCTTCTTTACAACTTGTTCTACCTAGCAAATTCTATATAGCTCAACACAAATAACCAAAAAATATACATAAATTTTGAACACTGAATAGATATTTTGCAATCGAACTAAACAAAAAAACCTGACAACAATTACATACGATAACCATTTCATTGGTTTTGGCTTGTTGACTTTTGAATACAATATCATCCGTAATGGGATCAGCTGAAAGGAAACAATTGTTTGCTCCTAACAAAGCACTACGACCATCTTGAAAAATTGGTTCGAATTGTTCAAAAACTCCAACAGCATCTGCTGTGGCTCCCAAAATAGCGTCGGATTTGGTGGAAACACCAAGATATCTACCATAACTGTATTTCAGACAGAAAACAAAACTGAGATTATTGAGGTCATAGTAAAAAAAAATAGCAGTTTACAAAATGAACAATGATTGTATATATTGTTTTACAATGGTTTCACATCATTTTGCCGGATGGGTGATGTGATACTGTAAGAATCAAGCCTGATAGTAGCTAATCCCTAATCCTATCGCAGAGTAAATGACCCATGGTTCTTTAAATTATTTATTTGTTAACTCACATTTATACACGTTTATTTTTCTGTTCAACATTTTCTAAGGATGTTATTTCGTTATAATAACATATTCTAATAAGCAGCTGTCTTGTTTTATGATATTAGTTAACTGTGGAGGAGAAACTGTTTACGCTAATAATTCGGTTTCGTGAGCAGTTATTATCTACCCATATTGTATTATCCACAGTATCTATCGATCAGTGCCATTTTCTTTCATCTTAACAGCTGAAAATTTATTCATAAAATCCCACTCCAATACACTGCTATTCTAAATACTCCATATTAACACACTTGTATTCATCTATGCTATTCGCATTACATAAATCTCTTTGAAATCAATGATAAGTTCGGATTCGAATGACAATCAAGTTAAATGTCACTATGATGCAAACAGTGATAGAAAGAGTATATGGACGAAATTTTTTTCTCCTTAAAATGAATTTTAGAACTAACAACTTTCAATCCAAATTAAAAATGAAACATTAATCAGGAAAGACCTCCAAAATAAAATTTAATGGCGAAAACACCCTAGCTGTTTGGGTTTCCCCCAGACTCCTTTCAAATATCTAACATCAATACAAGTCAATCAATCAGAATGAGATTTGTGAGGCGCATATTTATCTTGTGCTTCATTGTACCAATATTTATGTGTTTAAATAAATAAATAAATTTATCAGTCAATCAGTCATCTACAACATACAACCAGTCACATATATGAATCGGTCCAAGTTGCCATACCTCATTGGCACAAAACGATTATACCAAATTCACAGAAGCAGTTACTTCAATGATAATTATACATAAAGAAAGATTGCATATAAGCATATGATACAGAGAGAATGAATTAGTTTATAGGAAGAAGGGTATAAGGTGATTTTATTTTAACAGTTTAGGGGAAGACAAAGAGTATATGTATCTGCGTCATTGTGATCGATTCTGAGTCATGTCACTCAGAGTCTTCAACCATTGGTTACGATAGTTCAACGGACTCCAGCCAAGTGGTCTGCATCTACCAAAATGGCTCAGATTAGGAGTTAGTGACTTTATGGACAGTTACCAGATTTTGGTTCGGCTGCCACTTACTTTCTTCCATCCTTATACAACACTAGTCAGCACTGCGTCCCGTGATAATTGGTAGTGGGTAATACGAACTAATACGGCGCTTATCTCTAAATTGAAAATGAAAGGATATTTCAGTAGAATAAACTTTATTATCCAAACATGCAAAATGAGAACAAATCCCTTTGAGTGGACTTCGTTATAGACTCTACAATCACAAATTAAGGAAAATTACATCGTAAAACTTATTTTATTTGAATCACAAAACAAAAAACTACTACTCACACTAACTAACCCAGATTTAAATGCAACTTTAGTATCCGAAACTTGCATAGCGGTGAAAATCTCCTCTGGAGCTGGTGGTTCACCGTACTTTCTTGGTGGTCCGATAACAACCAAACCTTCATCGGTAGCTGATAAGTAACAAGCACCTGTAAACTCGTCGTTAGCATTCTGCCCAGAGTGTGTATCTGCTTCAAGCTCATCAGTTGTCGACGGTTTATCAGTTGCAACATAAACTTGTATTGCTATTGAATCCTTAACTTCATCGAATTCTTTCGCAGACCACCAGCCACCATGAGCATCTGCTTCCAAAATACGTTCTGTTTTCTCAACCTTTGGTTTTGATTCTTGACGTCTTTTGTGGTGCTTTTTTTTCTTCTCACCCTTTAATTTTAACTTTCCAGGTCGGACAAATGAGTAACTGTCCATAGTCTAAAAGTCGATGTAGATTTCAAATACATATTACATCACACAGTGTATAAATTTTACGTCCATGCTAAGCATTATCAATAAGATAATTCCCCTGCCCAGTAATAATATGTAAAAGGATAATGGTAATTTACAAGACGTTAAAACTTAAAGGTTGAAAACCAGTTTGTCTTGTACATAATAATTGCTAAAAGTGAGTAAAAGCAGTTGATCTGTGTTTACAAAATAAAATTACAGCATCATATAATTTCAGTTAGATAGTCATCATCAACGTAGAGCCTGTCATAAATGTATATCAAACCAATTAATCAGACTAAATCCACATAAGATGAAACTAAAAGAAATAGTAAAGGAGTCGGAGTTGTAGTACTGATGATATTGAGAAAGAATAAACACGGACAAGGTATGTATGAAAGAATACTGTAATTCAAGATGGCCTTGTCAACCGATTCTCCGCTATTGCCCAGTAACCTAGGCTAAACGTCAACATCCCTCACTAGATCGTCTTTTGTTTTTGAAGATCACGATTCATAGCCAGTAAAGTAAGATAGAACAGACTGTTGCAAAGTACACCCACCTACGCCACAAGTGAGGCACGTTGACAAAAGTTAACAGAGCTTTCTAAACCCGTATCGAAATTTCGTCAGAGACCAACATCCCAACGTTGACGAGACTTCCAAGACAAGTGAAACGGTCAACACACACTACATTCTGTACCACTAGAGCGTAAGTTATAAAGAAAAAGAATCTTAAACAGTAGTGTTCAAGAGCTAGAAGTGATTACGAGGAGTAGTACTATGTTTAGTAAAGCTCTTTTCTCTTAAACTAATACATAGGGGACAATCAGTCCTTAATTTTATTGACATTTGAGTGACCGACAGAATCCCTACCTTGCAATCGCTTGTTTTAACTGACTTTTAATCTTGTATATTTTGTGTGTAAGCATATTATTTTATTAGATGAAAAACCAATTGTTCTGATCGGTGGCCTTGTCTTTGATCTTAGTTTATTCATAATGGTGTGTCAATAATCTGGTTTCGTGAGCGGTCGTCATTGGGCTGCATCGTATTATTGCATCTCACTAGCTGATTGCCACCGCATACATTCATTTTACCATTCATAATAAATCTTGATCTATAAAATATGAAACGGTGACTTAGCATACATAACAAATAAGAAATTTCATTTGGTTCGGTTTCTTGAATTCACAAACTAAGTAACTTTTATTGCCCAAAACATAGGGCCTAACTTCAGTATTATTCACAACCACAATAAAGAAATGAATTCCAGAAACCAATAAATGAATACATTCGATCTACCCATTATTAAAGGTTATGTCTTAGAGTAGCTTAGATTGCACTGTTAAGCAATGAACGCGGTCTCTGATAAGGAACATCCTAGTTTTGTAAGGCATTACAAATGGTGAAGAGTAGCTAACAACAAATGCGACGTGTGAAGGCGTCATGAGATGTTAATAACATTCAGAGGATCATGACCGATAATTAAACCAAGCACTAGAAAAACAACACACTTAAACACTTACTAGCCTAGACTTTTTGTCCTCAACCACTCCTACATGTTACTAGTGCTAACGATTTGATTTTAAGAAATACTATTAATGGTCTTCTGAAACAACACACTAAGTATTTCAAGGTGTCACAGCTTTGAATGTACGAACCCTATATCACTAGCTAGGACACTAAAATTGATGTGTAGTATGTTCCCGAAACACGTCTACAGGATAATGGCATGATCACTGACTTGAACTCACGTAACCTATATGGAAAGCCAACAAGATATACCCTGCAGGTATCCTAAGACTCAGTGGTCTATCGGTTAAGTGCTCTGGTGCGAGACCGGTAGGTCCTGGGTTCGAATCTCGCGAGGCAGGATCGTGAATGCGTACTGCTGAGGGGTCCCACAATGGGACGAAACGGCCGTCCAGTGCTTCTAGGTTAGCCCCCAAATGGTTGGGCCATGTGTTACGTATGCCTGAACACCGATTACCAAGACGCGCTATGCTGACTAGTATTGGGGATGGTTGGAATAGAGTAAGAAGCGGCTAAACCAAAACATGGCATCAGAGCTTGTAGTCACCAACTTCTAGTACGAGCCCTGTTGATAGATGCAGACCACTTGGTTGAGGTCCGCGCGACTATCGTAACCAATCGTTGGAGACTCTAGGTGACATGGCTCAGAATCGATCACAATGGCGTAGGTGTATACACTCTTTGTCTTCCCTTAAACCGTGAGATTGAAACTACTTCATATCTTTCTTCCTGTACTATGTTCATATTTACAACCTTTCTTTTATATATTACCGCCACTAAATTAAATAGTTTTATGAATTCAATGTTCATCTTGTTGTACTAACGAGATATGGAAACTTGGAATGATGCACATGTGTGCCTGGTCCTACGTTGTAGCTGACTGACTGACTAACCTATTGACACAGAACACCAACACGGTCATAAATAGACCATATTACCATCACGCGTCGTTGAGGCTCGACTGAAGACTGCTGCTCCTTCTGAGGTATATCCTTGGGGTCTGATCATGCCCTGGTGAGCGCATGCATTTTTAAGCGTTTTACTGATAGTAGAAAAGCCGTGGCAGGAAACCTCATAGATAGCAATTTGGTTGAAACGTTAGGCATCGACTGAGGAAAGAATCAGCTAAGCACCTAGTCGGTCGTGGAAAAAGTCTATCCTGAAATAGCTCAAAATATTTAAACGGCTATAAATATAGTAATGGCATCCATTAACAACTTATAACGAGAGTTCAAGGAACACCGATAAATTTAGGTAGCCTCTACTAAATTGATATGCGCTCCGAACATCATTTTGAGGGGCCTGGAGAACGATGAAGAGTGATAGGATAAAAAGATAAAAAGCACAGCGTAACCATATGTAACCTGATATAAAGCGTTTAGACCGATCTACAAGGCTTTCGGAGACCATGATGATACAATCGCTCTGATGAGAATTAACCTTTCATGTTTTGGAAAATTCGATAACAGTAAGAGCCTTCAGGAGATTCGGGAGAAATCGGTCTTCTTAAAAGGACTTTGAAAATATGGTGGCACTGCTACGACAGAATTCAGGGAAAGTCTTAATCTCAGGGCTTAAACTAAAACACATTGTATTTTGTTAATGGAAAAATATCAGGATTTTTCAAATATACAACTTGGTTCCAATGCACCCGATCTCCCTACTTTGAGGAAAAGTTTTTCCATTCCGGGCATATGTTGGGAAAGCTAAAATAGAAAACTTTGGGGTTTTCGTGCCATTAACCCAAAGTTTTTGCAGGTCTGGAGAAAACTTTTAAGTTTTGGGAAAGACCCAAAACTTTCTTCATAATCTTATAAAACCTTGAGGCTTCTCCATAAACCTCAAATTTTACCCAAGGTTTCCCCAAAATAAGGAGAATAGACAAGGAAGCTCATAATAATAACTGACTACATAATGGAAGGCAAAAACGAAAAAAGAGAACCATGCGATATTTTGATGAGAAACATGCTGTATAACTCTGATGACAAGCCGTAAAAAATGACAGAAAGCCAAATGTTTGAACCAACATTTTGTTGGCACATACCGACAACCACGCTATAACGTTACATCCGTATAGCCCGGGCTGAATATTCAAATGGTTCAAATGGTTGAGGACGGAATAGAAGAAGCTTTCGCTTAACGGGCTTCCGTGTCTAGTAGCAGTGGATCACACACACCTCTAGGCAGGAACCTAGGTTATTAAGGATAATAGAGGAAAACAGAAATTGGTAAATTATAATAATTTGTTATCCTTGGTGCTTAAGAATAGGTCAGGTTTCCTCTTAAATGATTCCTGGGAAGTCGCTTGGATTAGCTCAGTCGGCAGCAAATTTCAGCATTTGACAGCTCTTACTGAGTAAAACTTGTGTCTACAGTCTGTTCTGCTATGTCGGGTCCCCAGTTTATGGGTGTTACCTCTTAGGTTAGTGGTGTGACTAGGCTTAAGAAGATGTTTAAGGGGATGACCAAAAGTGTTAAGGATACTGAAAGTCATAAGAAAGTGACCTCTAAGACGCCTGTACTCTAACGGGTAAAGGTTAAGTGATTGGAGGCGCTCTTCATAAGATTTGAATTAGAGTCTCCGAACCGATTTCGTGGCTCCAAGTTCGATACGTTCCAGAGTATCCTTATCCTTTTGCAGGAAGAGAGGAAATACTATGTTTCCGTACTCTAAATGGGGACGAATAAAACTGTTGAAGATTATGCGGAAAGTTCTACCGTCAAACTGGCCAAAAATGCGCTTCAATGTTACCATTGCAAGGTTTGCTTGAGAGGCGTTTTTGTCACAGTTAGCGCACGATTTTAAGTCGTAGGATACAAACACTCCCAAGGCTTTTTCGACTTGGGAAACTTCTAGGGAGGAGTTACCTAAGTTGTAAATATGGTCTGCAACATGTCACAGATGGACTACCTTGCACTTTGAAGTGTTGGAGGTAAGTCGTCTGCTCAATTTTGAAGTCGAGTCAGATCCTCCTGAATTGCTAGTTTATCCTTTTGGTTGCGTATCTCTCTCCAAAGTTTCACATCATCAGCAAAAGGCAATAAGTCAGATGAAACTTGTTGAGGAAGATCGTTAATGTAAATCAAGAAGAGAAGAGGTCCTAGTATTGAGCCCTGGGGGACCCCACTAAGACATTCCATAGCCTGAGAGAGAGAGTGGAGCTAACCCTGACCTTAAAATGTCGGTTTTCTAGATATGAAGCGAGCCAGTCAATCAGAAGGGGATTGATACCCAATCGTCTAAGTTTATTGATAAAACAAATGTGGTTGACCCTATCAAAAGCTGTTGCGAAATCCAGGTAAATGACGTCAACCTTCCCCTTGTAATCAAGGATGGTTGTCCATCTATCCACCGCAGTATACCGTCGTATATTAGAGATTCCATAATTTTAGAAGGTATGGAGATAAGAGTCACTGGTCAGTAGCTTGAGGGTTCACTGCGTCGACCTCCTTTGAAAATTGGTGTGATGTGAGCCAGCTTCCAAATTTCTGGTAGTTTGCCTCGGCTTAGCGAGTGTATAAACATCACGCTAAGTGATGTTGAGGGGGTTGAAGCTGCTTCCCTCAGTATAGCAGAATGAACCATGTCCGGACCAGGAGAAGTATCTTTTCTTAGGTTCTGCAGTTTACGGAGCACCAGGTCAGCACTCAAATCCACTTCGGAAAGTCCTGTACAGGTGCAGGTGAAGCTTTCGTCAGTATAGTTGATGTGGGTCAGCTGGAATGTCTGGGAGTATTGTTCAGCCGAAAAGTAGGCGACATCACCGTCGTTATTGATCGGGCCATTAGGACCAAGCAGTTGGGAGACTCCAGTTTTGCCTTGTCGAAGAGAAGCTGTGTGACTGAATAAGCTTTTCGGATTGGAGACAATTTATCGATAAGCTTGGTCTGGAACTGAAGCCTGTCTTCTCATATTGCCTTTGAACATATGTTCCTTATGCACTTATATTGCCTGTATGCGTCGTTATTGTCAGTTCGTTTATATTCGGCCCAACAGTGCCTTTTGCGGCTTATCAAACGACGACTGTGGTTCTTGATGATTGGAGGTTGTTTGTAGCTTTTTGGGACCATTTGAAGAACTGAATGCTCAGTAGCACATAAGATCGACTGCAGTAAAAAATCCCAATGAGCATCCACTTCAATTTGAGGGTGAACATCCCAATCCACCTGTTGTAGATAGTCATGTAAGCTAACACATTCAACCGTTTGAAATTCCAGCGTGTTGTTGGTGAGATATCTAAGCTAAATTTTGCTGACAAACTGAAGGATAGGACAGCGTGATCACTTTTCCCAAGAGGAGCCAGAGTTGAGAGGTCGTCGACTAGGAATTCTTTATTTGTGAATACCCAGTCTTAGAGAGACGGGGTCTGACTGTTTCTCCAACTAGTTGCATTCACATTTTCGAATAATTCCAGATCATCGATGAGGTTGAAGAACGGGACTTCAGTAGAGTTGGCACCACCAATGTATGTATGTTCCACGAAGTTGATTCTAGGAAGATAGAAGTCCCCTAGAATCAGGATATGTTAGAATCCGAGACGCGTAGAGCGAGTTAATCCTTCCAGCAGACGTTTGTCATATTCGATGTCGGCAGTGGGCTTCCTGTAAATGACCCCAACTAGACACCTTGAGGTGGTAGTCAATCTTACTGAGCACCATACTGATTCATCAAGACTGAGAAACTCTTGGTTGTGAAGCTAGTGTGCCTCCACAAATTACCGTGTGTATAATGCTACCCTCCCCATTCCAATTTTCCTAACGTCGCGAAATAAAGACATTCCAGGTATTGCTAACTCCTGGTCCGTAAACTGAGACGATATCCAAGTTTCGGATATTTTTATCAGATGAACATCATCAGCGGTGCTAAGTTCAAGTAGCTCATCCATTTCGTTTGTCAAACTCGCAGCGTTCATGTATATGCAGTTTATACTTTCAATTTGGAACGTGTGAGCTTCTTCATGTGTGTCTATATGAGCCTTGCGTGAGCGGACAGGTAGCCTATCCATACAATGTTTACCGAGTTGGTAGTCCCTGTCCTTTACACGTTTCTTTTATGATCAAGACAGTCCACGAGTGGAATTGTCAGCTCCAGCATTCGTTTGTGCTTGATCCTGCTGTCGTGGGGCCTATCCGGATGCATATGGATGCCAGTTGGCAACCGACGTCTCTTGGCACGAAATGCTTCTAGAGTTGCAGCCACCATGTGGGAAGAGGGGAAGGTTATCTTCAATAGCCGTGGTCTAGAGTCCCCGTCTCTCTTGGCTAGTCGCGTCACCTGTTGGGTCAGTATGTTTTTGAGTTTCAAGGAGTGCTTAATGAATTTCAATTCCCGAATATCAGAGTTTGCTTGATCTGGGTCCGGTACACCTTGCACAATGATATTTCTTTCACGGAAAAATGCCTCGTGAGATTCCTTAGGGATGTTCCGGATCAGATTTCATTCAGAATATGGTATATCGGGCAGTATTCTTACTTTCCCGTCGGATTTCAGTAAGTGACTCGCTATCAGAACGTCCTCCACGTGTTATACGAAGCAGCGTCGGGTGGTTTTGGTGGTTAAAGTCCTTCCCCGAGTGAGCCATGTGACCGTCAAAGGCCCTATTCCAGGGAGATCAAGCCTCTTGTTCAATTCACCTGAGAGCAACCTATCATTTTTGTCCTGCTTACTGAGAGGAAGGTCAGGGTTGTCAATAAGGTTCATGAATATGACAGAGTCGTCACGATCCGTAATTGATTTCCTAGGTTTTCCAGAGCGTCTGGGTTCCGTACCTTGTTGTTTGGTTGCAGAAGCACGTTTTCAATTCCTAGGCACGGTGATGAACGGACGGACAGTCTTCAAGGTAGACTGTGCTACCAGGTCACCAATTGATTTCCGCACAGTACTTGGGATGTTCAGCTGAGGCGGTGACGCTAATTCCTTCTCACCCCTGTTAACGTGGGTCCAACCACCTACAGGGATTTTGGGAACCACTGTCGCATTCAAGGACTCTTCCCTGGGGGATCCAAGTTCACTGAGAGAATCAATCACCGTGGATGGTAAGACAGTGCGCAGTTTCAGCACGTCATCACTCGTGCTTTTACCTGCACCGTTGATAGTCGACCTGTCGATATCCCTTTTCTTGTTTGCACTGCGCGTTCCTCTTTTGCTACCCGTCATGATACTGTCATTTACCAAGTTTCCAGACAACTTGTTCCTCAGACTTGTTATTAAAGTAATGATGGTACCCAGCAAAACTACAGTAACAGTGTTGCACGTAACACATACCCACCTACGATCAGACTTGCTGAGTCTGCTATAGCCTGTTGCTATTATCCGAGTATTCTAAGTCGACAAGTGGACCTCTTGGAAAGAGATTGATTCTTGAAAATTCAATCGACGAGAATGTTATTTCCAGCAGTAGGTCTATGATGAATTCGGACAAAAATGGAGATAGTGGACAGCCTTGTCGGACACCACTTGAGGATACAAAATTAGATGACAGTTCGCCTTAAGCTCTCACTCGACCGGTAGTGTTGGAGTAGACAGCCTTCACAAGTTTTATGTATTTCTGAGGTACACCTTTCACTGACAAACACTGCAACAAAACCCATTGTGCTTAGGAGTCAGATGCTGCTTTTAAGTAAGGAAAAACTATCATTTTCTGATGTAGATAAGCCTGCCTGTGTTCTAAAACCTGACGATTAGTGAATATGTGGTCGATACAGCCACGACCAGGTCTGAAGTCAGCCTGATTTCCTCGTGTTTGCAATTTATGAGTCTTAGTTAGGCACCCGATAATTGTTGAGGCTAGTGAGGATGCAAACGGATGTTCTAGTTTTACAACTAGTTACCAGTAGCACCTTCTATGTTCGATCGTTCCCAGTCAGATATAAATCAGAAGTCAGACGAGGAGAGGTAGGAAAGATATATTTGATGCGTTACCAATATATCGAGGAACCTTTACTATAAGCTGGCTAATGAACGTAGGAGCTGTGTCCCACGCCGAATTGAAACGTGATCTGGTACGGATGCATGACCGAAAGCCTTCAGCTAAACAAGTCCAATTAAACAACGCGGTCAGCATCCAATGTCGAACACTTAATGAGCTATTGATTTTGGGGAATTATTTACAGCTACACTAGTATTTTAGATGCTATATTAGTCGAACTAATCCCTCTATGGTTATCACGGGATGATTTTGAGCCCTCCTTATATAGTGGGACAATCAGTGATTGTGACCAGTCAGATGGGATTGTGTAAACTCCCAGATTTTAGCTAAACTATTAGTCAACCTAGTCGCTAAAATTGGACTACCATATTTAAGGACCTCTGGTTTTAATCCACCTGGACTAGCTGCTCTTCCTCGTTTCAGATTAGCTATAACCTTTTGAACTTCAGCTAGAGTCAAGGTACTTACTTCAGTGTTCCATACAGGCTGTATGGAGATGGTGGGTAGATGAAGGCCAGATGAATTGCTCCTTAAAGTGTTCCGCCCATCGTTTTTAATGTCTGGGCTGAGAGTAGATAAGAGGGCCAACTTTTTCTGAGATTGTTTCGCATACACTTGACTTCTTAATTCCAGTTTCTTTTATTAGTCTGAAGAGTTGCCTACAGCCGCTGCCTTTTCCATCTCTTTTGATTTCGTTGCCCACCACTGCTCACGATAGTTCCTTAGACTTTTAGTTAACCTAGATCTGATTTGTTTTCGCTCTTCAACGTGTTCAGAGCCTGATGGGATGAGTTTACGAGAATCCATCAGTGAAATAGACTTAGAAGAAAACCATTGGTTTTTTTGGAATCTTTTGGTTTAAATTACTAATAGATGTGACTGCTGTTTCCACGGATGTTCGTATATCTTTCAAAGCAACATCCGGGTCAGCCTCGTATTCAGAACTGCCTAAATGTGAACTCAATTGTTCCTGCAAATTACTTCTGGCTTTCTAGTCCCTCAGTTTAATTCTAACGTGTCTTCCAAGTGTAATTTTCCTGCGTCCATTGAAGCGCAAGCAAATGTGTACTCGTATTAAGGCATGATCAGAGTCTAAACATGTATTCCAGAACGAGTGACAATCTTCCATCGAGCCTCTCCAACGATGACTGATGGAAATATGGTCTATTTTAGTCCATCGTTGATTTGTTACAGGTGGTCTCCATGTTAGACGATGTTTCTCTTTATGCTTAAAATTAGTGCTTCCTAAAAATAAACGATTATCTGAGCATAACTGCAACAGAAGACCAACACTATCTGTTCTATGAACCGGGATACTAAGACATCCATCTAAATGTCTTTCTGTTTGATTTAAGCTACCTACTTGGGCATTAAAGTCACCTGCTACGAGTAATATGTCTGAGAGTTTAGCTTTTTGAAGAAGCTCAGAGAGCTTCCTGTAAAAGTCATCTTTCACTTCATCCGGGATGTAGTCAGTAACCACGACGTCAAGGTAGCAGCAACGGTCGGGAGGTTTACCATTTGCATGCTTTGGTATCACAATCAAGCTACAAGCTGTCTGAAGATTTGTGTTTTTCGAAGGTATCTATAATTTCTTTATCAGTTTTTAGGGATAAGCTTTCAAACAACCTGCATAAAGAGCGGTCGTGCAAGCATGAAAATACAGTAAAATTGAAAGGCTGACCTGACGATGAAAGTACATTTCAGACCTACTTGATAAGATGTAACATCTCACTTTTATTGAAAGTACGGATTCAACGAGAGTTGTCTAACATTAAACAAGCAGAAATAATATTCGTCTTAAACCGTCCTTCAAATATCGTTAAGAGTTTCAACATCGGACGTGAAATCCAAAAATAATTGTCACACTATCCCATTAATATTGTATGCAGGTATATCCCAATGTTAATTATGTACACAGGACGATCATGAGTTTAAGGACGAGTGCTAATTCGCATATATTCTATACTACAGCTTAGAAGAATAAGTTCTGAATATTGGTTTTATGGGGGTTCATTTCTAGAGACGAGTCGACATAACATAACATGGAAAACGAACTGTCCCCGATTATTTCAAATCTACAGATAACTTTAGAGAAATACAAAAAAATACTAATTTCTCAAACCATTATTCTTTTTTTTTAATTTCAAGAACATACTCTAGAACAATTAAATTTAGAAACAATACAATACATAAAATTGGTGAATAAACACAACTATAATAGTAATAACAGACAAACATAGATACACTGATAGTTTTAAAAACAGGTAACTCAATGTGTACAAATCCCAGGTAGTAACCTGAATCAAACAAAGATTGAAAATTAACCGGAAAAAGGGGAATTAAACAATAAATGCATAAGACAAAAATATATATATAAACGTTTTCATGAAGGAATATTGGATACTGAAAGAACAAGTAACTTGATGATGGTTAGATAGATAGATGGGGGAGGGGGTAGAAATAATCATAATTGTCATTATTACAGATTATTTTGTCACTTTATAACAATATGTATATATGTTTTTATAAAATTAATCAATACTAAGCATAAAAATAAGCATACTTGGATCTTAAACTTTTTTTAGGATGTTTTATAATGTATATGATTACGTAATTTATATAGTAATAATAGTAGTCATTATAACAATGGAAATAATAAACCTTAAAATAAACTAGCATAAATGCATAAGATTTAGAAGAAAAAAAACCCTCAGTAAGCATGAAAATGCAATTCAAACAATATAAATGCACAAATTGAACTGGACTAGTAATAAGTAGTAAGTACTTCATAACAATAATAATAATACTAGTGATGATTTTGTGAAAATTTAAAACATCTGACAGGAAGAAAAGAGATAAAAAGAGAATAGATTCAACTTCCACTGTTACTATTCTCAGGGCGAACAGAAGTAGATGAATGATGAACAGAATGTCTGTTGTCATTGTCTATATCAGATTTTAAAATAGAACGTACTACTGAAGGTTTAGTTTCATCTTCACTGCTTTCAACATCGTCTTCATCATCATCATCGTATTCTTCACCTGAATTATGACTTGTCATACCAATATTTCCAAATCTTTGTGAATTATTAGTTAATGAATGTGTGGATTGAACTGATTGTATTATGGAACCAGAATGCCAATTATCTGAAGATTTATTATTAGTAGCATTTTTAGTGAAATTATTATTAACTATTGACAAATGATGTGGTTGTTGTTGTTGTTGTTGTGACGTAATATGAGTATATGTTTCCGATGGACATTGTTGAACTTCAGGATGCAAATAGCCGGAAGTACAAACATCCCCAGCAGATCCAGTATTCGATGATGCATAATCATTACGAGTATTAACTATTGGCAAATTTTCGCCATACACAGCTAAAATAGAAATTGAATATAATGAAGATTACCAATAAATAATCGAATACCAATTTTCTGTAATTTGCTGAAGTTATAGAGATTTAACGTCTGAAACAAGATTTATGTCTTCCAAAAGAAACAGTAACAAATATTTCATTACCCTAGTAATAATACATCCATTTCATTGCATCATTTTTCCATTTCAACACTTTCTCAAGTTTAATTAGGTCATTTTCATTTCACTAGACTTTATAATTTTAATTCTAATTAACTGATTTCAACTTATATGATTATTTATTATCCTTATTCTATTTTCATTTTTTATTAACTTTATTAAAATCTCTGCAATATCATGATATACATATTCATTTTTTAACCACCTACATGTTTATAAGTATGTCAAATTTCGACATAATTTTCATTTTAAATCAAAAGTGGGAAAGCAGCAAGACCACACAACGAAACAACTGAAGCACTAAAGTCACACACAGAAGTAACTGTAAGCATGCTCCACACTCTACTCAGGAAGATTGAGTAGGAAGAACAAGTCCCACCGATACACTGGGAAGATGGATACCTCAACTAGATATCAAACAAAGGAGATCTGAGCAAATGTGAGAACTACATAGGAATCACAATACTACCAGTACCAGGAAGACTCTTCAACACAGTGTTATTAACTGGATGAAAGATTCAGTAAACGACAAACTTCGAGATCAACAGGCTGCATTACATAAAGATCAGTCGTGCACAAAACAAATAACGACACTACGGATCATCGTCGAACAATCAATTGAATGGGACTCTCCATTATACATCAACTTCCTACACTATGAGAAAGCGTTTCACAATGTGCATGGGAAAACACTATGGAAACTTCCTCGGCACTACGGTGTGAGTAAGTGAGAAAATTGTCAACATCATATGGAATTCATACAACCGACTACATTCCAAAGTCCTGCATCGAGGACAGCTGACAGATGCATTCCAAATGAGGACCAGAGTCAGACAAGGCTGTCTACTCCCCTCTCCTTTCTCTTCCTTCTAGTGGTTCACTGGATTATGAAGACCTCCACATCTGACGAGAAACACGCAATACAATTGACAACTTGGATGCAACCACACGATTTGGACTTCGCACATCACCAACCTCTTCTACACCGTACACATCAACAAATGCAGAGGAATATAGCCACTGAAGCAACAACAGTCTCCACAGCATTAGGCCTCAACACACACAAGGGAAAAACCAACATTCTCAAATACAACACAGAGAACATCAACACAATCACACTTGACGGACAAACTCTGTAACAGGTGGAAACTTTCACGTATTTGGACAGTATTATCGATGAAAAAGAAGGATCTGATGCAAACATAAAAGCGAGAATTGACAAAGCAAAAACAGCATTAGTGCAGTTGAACCACATTTGGAACTCAAAATAACTGTCTGCCAGTCAACATCAAAATCAGAATCTTCAACACCGAGGCCAAGACAGTTTACTGTACTGAGGGAGCTGAAACTTCACAACTACCACAACCATCGTCAAATATGTACAAATATCTATAAACAATTATCTACGTGAGATACTCAATGTCTGTTGACCGGATACTATCAACAACAACCTACTGTGGGAGAGAACAAATCAGCTTTTAGTTGAAGATAAGATTATGAAAAGACGCTGGAAGTGGATAGCACATACATTGAGGAAATCAAACTGCATCACAAGGCAAGCGATAACATGGAATTCTGAAGGGAAACGGAAAAGAGGAAGGTCAAAGAACACGCTGAGTCAAGAATTGGAAGCAGACATGAAGAAGATGAGTAGCAATTGGAAAGAGTTGTCCAGGATGGATATAGTTGGATGGAGAATGGTGATGGGAGGCCTATGCCCCTCCACAAGAAACAGGCGTAAGTAAGTAAGTAAGAAGTAAACCGTGATGTAACCTGAAATTTCGAAGCTTGTGAAAGTATACACTAGGAATATCAATGATTGGTAATATAAGAATTGGAGTGAAAACTTTAAAAAAATTAATTACTCTGTTTAACATTAACTAACATATGAATAATAAACTATATACATACCAGCTCCGTGTGTAATATGAGATAAACGTGGATCATAATCCAAAATATGATTTGATGCATTTTGTGATGACGATGTCACGACAGGAGTAGAATAATTCACTGAATTAGTATTACACAAACGATTTATGGCGCTTCCAATTGAATTGATATGTGTATTATTACTACTACTACTGCTACCACCACCACCACCACCCCCAGTGCTACCACTGAAATGTGGTGTTTCACCACTTTTTTCCTCCTCACGACGTTTTAAACAAGCTTGTTTAGGATTTAAATTACGTTCTAGCAAAGAATTCACAGAAATAAAATATTAAAAAAAGATAAGAAGTTCAACTTTTAAAATCATTCTTATTATATAAACTGTTTAAAACATATATAAGTGAGCAGTATTGCTTCCAATTAGATAGTTATCAGACTTCATTCTAACATACAGGAAACAATTAAATAGGGATATTAAAAAGCACTAAACCAAGCAAGTTGGTTAATAATTACAATGAAATAGATTACATAACTAAACTGAATAAGTAAAATGTAAAAATTAATAATAAGAAAACAGGTGTATCAGTAGTGATAAGATTGTTACAAATAGCAATAACTATGATCACTTGTCTTCTTTATTGCATAATTTTTAATGATTATGATTTCAGTATCGATTCAGTCAACTTTCAACATACTACTTATATGGAAAAAATAATTCTAGCTGTTATTATTTTTACAAGCAGCAGAGATGGATGGTGGCTAACAGTATAATCTAGGACGCGCATTACGTTCTATTCTAATCAGTAATAATAGATTAGATATCTATCTTATCATCATTTTGCACTTTTTTTCTGATTATATTTAGTTATGTAATCTACTTCTTTGTTATAATTGGCTTATTAACACCCTTAACTAGTTTAATATTTGCTAATATATACATATAAATATTACTGCATATTAAATCAAAGATGAAAGAATTAATCAAAAATAGTATTGTTCACCTATATATTTTGTATATATAGTTGAAATCATGAGTCAATTGAAGCTAGACCACCGCGGAAAACCTGGAAGCACTGGACGGCCGTTTCATCCTATTGTGGGACTCCTCAGCAGTGCATATCCACGATCCCGCCTTGCGAGCTTCAAACCCAAGACCTACAAGTCTCGCACGCAAGCAGCCCACCGACAAACCACTGAGCCGGCATCCAACGATGTTAATGTCTAACTTTAACCAATCCACGAAGTTGAGGAGTCCCACATTAGGACGAAACGGCCGTCCAGTTCTTCCAGGTTTTCCATGGCGGTCTAGCTTCAATTGACTAATGATTTCAACTATATATAAAGAATTACTAAAAATCTCCACGAAAAAACCCCCTTATATATTTTGTCCTAATTTTCAAATAATTTAGATATTTAATATTTTAAAACTGTATCTAATTTATTCAAGCATTAGAATATATAGTGAAATGAAATGAATCAAACAAAAGTAATTCGACGAAATATACGAACAAAAAATGAAGATTACTTTCCACATGCAAAAACAAAAATAGATAATTAATTATGACAATATATGTGATATAGTGACATTATAGAACAAATTATTGAAATATACAAACATATTACTATCCATTTGGGCGAGAGACTATAATTTGTGGACAAATTATTCATAACTGAGCATAGATTTTGGAGCGAAATTCATTCGTTCATATTGTTAAAAGTGTTTTGGCACTTTAGTTGATGTCAGTTCGTGATGTAAAGGCTAAATCTAGTTCCTAATCATAATCATCAACTGTAAATCATAATTCCAATTCCTCTCACTGCTTTATAACCCTTAATTAGTCCTAGTTAGTATGTGGAAATTTTCGAAGTCACTTAAGTGTCGATCAAAAGGTCGTCTAAAAATTATCATGTCACTATTTTTTGAGGAAAAAAAACTTAATAAGTAAACGATCCAAACACTATTATATATGAACGACCATTCTATAGAATTCTCTTCAGGTTCTACAGTTAAGTATCTAAATTAATAATTCAATAAATGACGACTAGTAAATCCTTTTTTAATAATTTATCGGGTTAGTACTTTTATCCCAAAGTCAATGAGACATTACATGCCCTACAAAAGCAGAACCAACAGTTTTTCAGGTTTAAAAATATCGAGATTATGTATACAAAAGACATATGTTTAACCAGTTCTCTTTTAATTTGTCCAACCTCAGGGTCAATAAACCAATAATAATCACAGTTTAAAAAATGATTACTGCACAAACAACTTTTCTATTTTTGTATTTTCCCAACTTAAAATTAATCTTATTCAAATATTATTGTCATCGTTACTTATATTCATATATCTTTGTACTATTATCGTTTCAACACTATCATTCGTTTTTCTGAACACATGAACAATTAACTTAGCACTCGCCTCAATTCTTTTTAAATTCATATCACATTAGACATTATGCATTACACCAAACATTTGATCTGAATTGTAATTATATTAGCATTAGCCAACATGGGGTTGCGGAAATTGTTGAATTTTATTGATATCATAAACCGATTTCAGTTTGACTACCATTGGAAACTTGGAAGCACTGGATGGCCATTTCGTCATAGTATGGGACTCCTCACCAGTCCACATCCATAAACGCGCGACTGTGAATCGAACCCAAGAGCGCGAACACTTAACCTCTAAACCACTGAGCCAGAGATCCAATGTCTTTGGTGGATAACTGCCTAACATCCGACACAGTTTAGCTCCACTGATCACGACTTCTCACTAGAACTCCATAAATTCCCGCTTAAAGCTAGTCACTAGTGAGAGCATAACACACAGATCAATTCAATATTAACAATTTGATCTGATTTTATAAACAATTCTACATTAATATGCTATAAATTTAAACGATGTATTTGCTGTAAACCCAGTCACTTTTTGGATTGTTAACTCGAATATATAAATATAAAATCTGAAGAGAATTTATTTTAAAAAATTTTTCGTTTATATATCAGCGTTCTATTATGTGGGTATTTAAACAAATAGATGACAGATTTATCCAACAACTAACATTACTAATCTACCATCTTTGTCAATACAATTTTTAACGTATATAAGCGTCCTGACTGTTTCTATCTGATGCATGAACACATCATGAAGGTTACAATTCATAGAAAACAATTCCAAAATGAACATTTATCGCCTTATAATTAATCCCTGGAACATAAAAACAAGCCACAACAGATTGAACAACTCTCTCTCTCACCATAGGTTTATCCATATGACGGACTAGTGATACTAATTTGGCTGCCAAAACAATTCAGTAGATGAAGTGAGATCTGAATGTATGATCTGTATATTCAAAATTTGAGTAGTCTATAACTATTATCCTATTATTCATCATAATAAGGATTATTACTTAAAATATTAAGATGTATTATCACTTAAGAAAAATGTAACGTCCATACACCATAGATTGACGACAGAATTTTTATGTAGTAAATCAATCCATTGAGAAATTGAATAAAGTTATTTCTAAAAGAATTTAAAAAAAACTTAAGTCCTAAACGTTGATAGATCGACGAAAATAGCTCAATTATAATACACTTTAATATAACCGAGTTATCTGGGTAGTTTTCACCAATATGATTTATTTCATCTGAATTCCCTTTTTACTAGTCAGTCAGTCATAATCAATAAAGAGGATGACACTAATATGAATTAGACAAAATTACCATACCAAATCTGTACAGTCAGATGAAATTATCAAGATGAATAGAAAAATAATCGAAATGTAACAGCAATTACAATTAGAAAGAATCCCTACATAGGGAATATGTATGAGGAATTGTTGGAACTCAAGATCTAGAAAAAGATAAACAAAAAACTCATCTAGGCCATTGTGAGCAATTTTGACCAACCATATCACTTAGTATCTAAAAGTCACTGACCAAAGAAGCAGAATAAAATCCAAGTAGCCGTATGTTCATACATACACATCTCTCTAAGTGGTTAATATGTTATTTTCAAAGCATAAAAACAGAATATTCACACATGAATCGAAAACATTATATTTCTTTTTTAACTGAACTTCAATAGTAACGGAGTGACTGTACACATGAAAAACGTCTTCAGGTAATCAACAAACAATCGTTCTCATCTTATCAACAGTGAAAATTTTAAAAAAGAAACTGACTTTTAGTAATCATCTATTGAGCTCACATACAAGGTAAATAATAAAACAGAGAAAATATACACGAATAAATCTCCCAATAACATTTTACGATAGAAATGTAACTACATGAACTACACAAACTACTTACCACGAACTTGTTGTTCCAAACTGGTGATTAATGAAACAGCTTGTTGTAAAATTGTAAGTTTGGTTTGTGGTCGTTCATTATTTAAATGCATCATGCACATGCGTCCAAGCTCTTTGAATGCATCATTGATATCACGAACTCGAATACTTTGATAGACAGAGAGCATATCATATTATAAAGTGAAACACACAGGAATGCGATTAACCAGATTGGCATATGTAATGGATAGTATGATGTAACAGACAATATACCACGATCCAGGAGATTAAAATGAAAGAAAAGGAAAGATATAAACATGCATAATACTAAGGATTATGACAACATGCTAATATCAAGCAAAACTTAAAAAATGATTTGAAAAAAAAACATAACTATATGATTTTTTTTCTAACCTCTAACTTGTTGTTCCAAACCTGTGATAACTGTTACAGCTTGTTGAAGAATCATGAGTTTTGTCAGAGGCTGACCATTTCCAGTGTGCAAATTAATCATTTGACCCAGTTCTTTAAAAGCATCATTGATTTCACGAACTCGTAATCTTTTTTTGTTGTTGTACAATTTACGGATATAATGGATAAGTAAACATACTGTGAAATACGTAAAACACTATGATCTAATTAACGAAATGATTTGATTTAATTAATTTGAAAGACTAGATACTTCTAAATACTATCACAGTAAGTGAAATTTGTGTTTACTGTAAAACGCATCATCACCTTACCTGACAGACAAAATAGTATTTCACGTATTCTTACAATCGACTGATCACTAACTAGTGATTAATGTCATGGGTGTCAAGTCGTCTTTAGCGCTAACTGAATCCTACCGATCAACTTATAATGTGGTCACTAGTTTAAGTAACTTGATATTACGTGCACTAACTTGAGATGTAAGGTTACAGTTAGAAGTAATCGATAGGAAACCGTGTTTTACCTCGGTTTCGCGCTATTTGACACCGATTAACAAAGCCTATATATAATCTTGAAAGAATTAATGTTCCTTGTTGGATTAAATCCGATATTACCCAACGTCATAGTTAGGATATTTGTCGTTACTTAGTAATTAATCAACAGCAAGTGTAGCTCAGTCGCTGTCCGAATAGCTCAATGGTAACCTCTCTGACTGTGCAGCTGAGCGACACGGGATTAAATCCACCAGGCAGTATCAGTTCCATCAAGATTACATGTGCGCTTCGCTGATGAGTAAAATGCAGCACGAAACCTACGTCCAGGGAGTTCCTAGAGAATCCCCTTTAAACAGTTCCAAATGAATAAACACTTCAAAAACAAACAAAAACGATTGTGTGACGTTGATTTAAAACAAGGACTACGTGAAAAAGCATCAAAATCCTCCCCCAGAAGTGTACTACTTTATACAATTCTAACAGTGAAAAATTAAACTGTTCGAAAAAAAGCAACTCTGGAATTCATGAAACATTAAATCGAAGTAAGCAAAGTGATTTTTTGTAATATTTATTAAGAATATACTTTTATTCCAACGAAAAAAAATATCCAAAAGAATCAAGACATGAAAAATACTGACACTTCACTATTATTAAATAACCTAGTAATATACATGTTGTCCAAAAGTGAGTGAGAGTAACAAATCTCTTTTATATTGATTTATGATTGAAAATACTATGTTTGAAAGTCAAAACATGTGTGTTTTAGTATTTAATCACGAATGTTTTTTAAACAATGTTCAAGTATGATGGAACCACTAAGCGATCATTTATGGGTTTTAAGAAATGACCAGTTGGTCTTTGATGGCTGTGAACTTTCATCGAAAGTAGTTCATCTGCGTATAGCACATTCATAGACACGTTTTACAACCTATGATTCTAGCTAGCATAGGAGGAGTTAAGAAGAAAGCTAGGGGTGATCAGTTCACGAAGTTAGTGATTGCTAATGGGAGTGGTACTAGGGTATACAGAGTTTTTAACGTATTTACAATCTAATCATCATCCCTATCTGGACTACCTGTTCCTTTCACCTAGATATTTCAATAAGTTATCTGTTTTTGTTTGTCTTAACACATCATTATGTCCATTAATCTCATAACCTATTCAGGAGCGTTTATGAAAAGTTTACGACCTTCCGTTATACAAGTTACATAAAAGTACAGTCAGAAACATCATGGTGAATAGCAATATGCATTGAAAAGAATGAAAATTATTCAGATGTCTATCCCTGATCTGCTAACATCTAACTACCGATCAATAAATATTTATCGTCAGGATCGATTAAGAAATAAGAAAAGGAAAATTGTCAAAATACTTTGTTCCGAGAATTCTATATTGTATCAGAAATATAATATTGAATAAAGATATTAATAATAATAATAATAATAATAATAATAATAATAATAATAATAATCTATCTGCTGTCTGCCAGTAAACATTTAAATTTTTTAATTATGCTTCTAAAGTCTAGTCTTCTTTAAAATCACTGATAGTGCTATTTCTATTTCTTTAAATTTTATTTTGTTTATAACTATTCAGTGTAGTGATATAAAGTGTAGTAACCAGGTACGGTGCACACCTGTCCTACTACCTACTAAGTTATAACCATTTATAATTAAAATCGCAGTCTGTCTGGATAAAAAAAAATCAATGAACAGTATCGTTGACATATTTAACTGCAAATAGTATACTTACCGCTCTCGTGCATTATTCGCCTGCCTACGACTACGTTCTCTTTCAGCTCTTTGCTCAGGTGTTTCATCTGGGTCAATAGTTTCTTCAGAGTCAGTTCCACATACACTTGGTGTACGACCATGTCCGAAGTTTCTACTGCTGTCAAAATCACCAAAAAGAGATGAGCATTCTGAGCTCATACCAGTGTTAGAGGATAATGGGCAAGCATTCGACAGCCCCAAAGTCATATCGCTAGTGTTAGCTTCGATAGAATTTCCACTTGACTCTAAATTAAGAGGATTGGAAGGATTAACAGATGATGATCGACGTTTGTGTCCAGCAACACGACCACCTCTTGCCCCACGACCACCGCCATGAGATGTAGAAGTGCTAGCAGATAAGGTTGGTGTAGAGGAATGCGTTATACTGATATTAGATGAACGAGTTGTGAAGTTCATTTCATCTGCACCAGACCCTATAATAAATAAATATCAACATACTTTTAGCGATCAATATAACTTATATACTGAAAAAACAATGGAATATGCAAGAGATAAGAACGTGAATTTCAGTTTGTACACATTTCACTACATAAGGTAAAATTAATTAATTTCTAGGATTAGGCGTGGTTGAAAAAAAAGTAAAATCATTTCAGTCAATTTTATGTAAATCGAATAATGTAATGATAAAGAGAGTTTCCATAGCTCATCTTTATTTAATGTTTGTCCTGATGATATAATCTAGAAAGATTATGAACGCTTAACAAGTAAAGCATCTAGCTCAAAGAGCGCAGATTGATCAAATTCATCTTGATGAGTTACAAATCATCCCACTATCTGAAGGCGAAGTATTATTATTATTATTATTATTATTATTATTATTACTATTTCTGCACTTCTATACGAACAAAGTCATAAGCAGTTGAAGAGAGTTCACGAAATAAAATGAATAATTCATATGGTAATGGACATACTAATTTCAAAATATTAGCTCATATTAAAACACAAATACCAACCTACAATAGTTTTGTTCACTTAAGCTTAGTATCAAATATCATAATTAGTATTGCTTTTCTGCTCAACTAATATTTAACTTCATAGTTGAAATCATGAGTCAATTAAAGTTAGACCACCATGTAAAACCTGAAAGCACTGGATGACCGTTTCGTCCTACTATGGGACTCCTCAGCAGTGCGCATCCACGATCCCGCCCAGTGATTCCAGGTTTTCCATGGTGGTGTAGCTTCAATTGACTCATGATTTCAACTATGAAAATACTGAAATCTCCACAAAACCCCTTCTGACCTATAATATTTAACTCTTAACTGTTATTGAAATAAAATGGAATATATGATATCAGATTAAAATATGAAGTTGATTAGGAAATCGAAAATAATAATCGAGGATGTAAACAGAAGGAATTCCAGAAACCATATTACTTATAAGGATTTAAACAACAAAAAGATGATGACATAATTTAAAATACATTAAAATACGAAGTAAAACATACCTGCTAATGCTATCAATGCTTCACGACTACAACCCATAATATCATTTTGATAATTGCTATTATTATTAGTAGTAGTACCAATATTATTATTATTATTATTATTATTATTATTTGAAGTTGCATTCTGAAATGAGTGAAATTAAAGAAGAACAAATGAAGTCAAAAACTTAGTAGGCAAATTACAAAACGAATAATAATAATATTTTACAGAATTTATATAAATATTATTCACTCAGTCAGTCAGTTACAACGTAGAACTTCGTACGTATGTACATCAATTCGAGTTGCCATACCACATTAGCACAGAGATCCAATTGTCGATTAAAATACCATAGTGGTAGACGTAGTAAGAGTATAAACATTATGTGAAAGATTAGGGTTTGAAGATGTTATTGAAGGAGTATAATACAGTGAAATAAATTTGGAAAGAGAAAAGGGATAGAGACATGAGGAATTCAGAAGATTAGAATTTGGGAGAACACAAAGAGTGGATGCATCTTCGTCATTGCAAACGATTTTGGGCCATGTCATTCAAGGTCTCTAACCATCGGTTGCTATCATCTAAATATTACTAATATTATCACAATACGTATTATTGACTGAATAGTTTACGTTTTACTGCCAAGTTAACTTTATTTTTAGATCTATTAGATTAGTTGAAGAATAGTATAATGGAAAAGGTGAGAATATATTTGTTGAAGTTAATCAACACAAGAATAGTTCACTAATCACTAAGTAAGGAGTGCAAACTTTCCTCAAACTTCATGTTAACCACAGAATAGATATTACATTTTATGTATACGTATAAAAACATAGCGTAAGTCAAGATAATACTCTTTACATATTTCTTCTAATTCTTAACCCTTTACACTGTAGAAAAACAGATAAGGATATAAATCAAGTAACTCCAACTGAATCAATTATGATTCAAATTATAGACTACATGTGCAGACGATGTACAGGATATGAGACAGGTCTCACTCATGTTAATGAATGATGGTAGTCCATAACACGAACTAATT